TGTATGTGCATTGGTGAGTGTGCATACGAACATACACACACACACATACACCACACACACACACCACACACACACATACACCACACACACACAACATACACCACACACACAACATACACCACACACACACACACACATACACCACACACACACAACATACACCACACGCACAACATACACCACACACACACACACACACACACACACACACAAGGGGGAAACAAAGATCTGTATGGTAGCTCAGCAGGTAAGGACGTGTATTCTTCTGTTTTTCTGCTGTTGATGTGTACCTTGCCCAAAAGCAATTCAGGAAAGAAAGGAGGAGTTTTCCTTAAAGGCTATCTTCCATCATCAAGAGAAGCCAGGACGGGAGCTCAAGGCAATAGCCTAGAGGGAGAAACAGAAGCAAAAAACGTAGAACACCGCTTCCTGCTTCCTGGTTTGCTCCTCACAGCTTGCTCAGCTTCCTTCCTTAGAGCACCTAGGACCACCATCGTAGGGGTGGTACAACCCACAACGAACTGAACCCTTCTACATCAATCACTAAGAGAATGACCCACGGCAAAATATTATTGGGGCGTATTCTCTCTCTGTTTTGATATTTTTCTGCTTCTCTGTGTAGTCCTGGCTGTTCTAGAACTCACTCTATAAATCAGGAACATATGGACAAGTCGGCTGGATTGAGACAGGGAGAGAGGGAGATGCCAGGAAAATGCCAGGGGCCAGACAGACAGACACAGCAGAAGCAGAAAAGTAGGACATACAGAATGAAAGGTAAAAAGCCCCAAGGTAAAATGTAGATGAATAGAATCAGGTTAAATTCAGTTAAAAGAGCTAGTGGGGCAAGCCTAAACTAAGGCCGAGCAGTCATGATTACTAAGTCTCTGTGTCTTTATTTGGGAACTGATTGGCGACCCAAAGAAAATTCCAACTATGAACGACACAAGCCAGAGGCCTGAATTTCTACAAAGGGCCTGAGAAATTTGAAAAATAAAAAATAAAAAAATATATGGTTCCTTTAAGAGGCCCCGCTGTGCAGCAGAGCACATGAGCCGCTAGCAGGCTAAGGAGGAATAGCAAGCTAAGTAAAAATGCCTGCCACAGTGTGGAGGTAGCATTAAATGCAGCTCTTGATCAAACACTGTTTCCGTTAACCAACAGAGTAACACTGTAGAGAGCCTAGCTGCTGTTTAGTTATTTAAGGTTTTGGTCGTGAAGTCAGAGAATGCTACAGGTGCACAGTAAAGCAGACCAAAAAAACAAACAAACAAAAACAAAAAACCATAGTAGGTTACAGTGTGAATAGATACTTAAGAAAGAAAAGGAAATGGAAGGGGCTGGAGAGATGGCTCAGTGGTTAAGAGCATTGCCTGCTCTTCCAAAGGTCCTGAGTTCAATTCCCGGCCTCCACATGGTGGCTCACAACTATCTGTAATGGGGTCTGGTGCCCTCTTCTGGCCTGCAGGCATACATACGGACAGAATATTGTATGCATAATAATAAATAAAATATTTTTTAAAAAAAGAAAAGGAAATGGGTATAGACAGTCATTGGAAAAAATAAATAGTTATATAGTACAAATTCTAATTCTTAATAATAATAACCCAGAGCCAGATACTGAGGTAAATGCTGGTCCAGAGAAACAAAGGAAAAAGCCACAGCCAACTCTTACCTTGCCAACTCCTCAGTAAAGAAGGAGCTAAGCTCCTCTCCCCACCTTGCCTTATCACTTCCTCTTCCTGCTCGGCCATATCATTTCTTGTTTCCACCTGGGAATTAAAAGAGCCACCAGTGCCTGGCCTCTGTGCTTAACTAGTGGTTAGCTACTAATCTCCAGACCAGTTTTAGTTGTTAGAACACAAATAAAATATCACCACAAGTTTAAAAATGTAGACATGGGAAATACACAGGGAGTCTGAATTCTGTGCGGTGCTTTGATGACTTTGAATTTTTTGAATGTCAATGAATGAAGCACAGCTGCTGAGAGACTTGGGACTGTAAAAGAAACTGCTGAATTAAACCAGCATAGATACTTTAGGGATGTCTTAACTTTAAAATGGAATTCAAAACATGTATTGCATTGAGGGAGAGGTTATGTTTTTGTTTCCACAGGAAATGAAAGGCTATGGATTTCTTCAAAAATAATACAGACCAGATTTGACTGGGGGAGACCCCCTGAAAATCTTATCTACGGACCCAAGAAATAAACCTAGAAAACTGCAAGACAGGAGATCTGTTTGCTGATCCCTTGACATGGAAACAGCTCTGAGACTGGATGAGATATGACAAGTCTTGGTTACAGAGTCCTCGTGACATATAATCACATGCCACCCTTTCGTATGGCACGGTTAGAGGTTTGGGTATACAGTCCCAACAAACCTAGAAAGTTGACAGATGTCTTTCACTTGCTCAAACATATAACCAAATATCATCTTTGGCTGTCTTGTGCACAATACATAATCCATACTTATGTTAATTCAGGTATGAATGATACCTTTGAAAGTTTGTGCATTTTTGGAGCAAGCAAACCAGACACCAATGACAATGTGTGACCCAGGTGACCCAGCCTTTCAGAGTGCCTCTATTGCAGTTTCCTCAGAGTTCTGCGTTCAAAACAGTTTCAAGGCTGCTGGCTGACCTGGTTCAGCCTCACACACCATTCTAAACAGGACTTCAGATAAGCCTTTCACTTTCCCATTACACAGAGACTGGACAGAAAATAGCTAGTTTTCTTAGGACTCGACCATAGTCTCAGTTTTCTAAGGGTCCTCTCAGGATGCTGTCACTCCTTGACAACAGGAAGTAGTCTAGAGATCACAATGCCCACACTCCCAAGAGGTGGGTACGTGGGTGGTTTTTGGTCTTTCATTGGGTTATGAATGTTTGTCATTATTTAGTGGGGATTTAGAAATATGAGATAAAAAGGCAACTATTCATCTAAAATATTTTACATTAGTACAGATTTTTGTATATTGACACAAATTTAAGGTTATTCTTGTTATACTGTATATATGTTTCTACTCTTGTTTAAGAGTATTATACCTATGCATCTCATTTAAAATGTACTATAAAGTTCTAGTCTTTGAAAGCTACTTCTACAAAACATTTAAGATAATTAATAAAATGCAGGTTAGACCGGGCAATGGTGGTGTGGTGCACACCTTTAATCCCAGCACTTGGGAGGTAGAGGCAGATGGATCTCTGTGAGTTTGAGGTCAGCCTGGTCTACAAGAGCTAGTTCCAGGACAGCTAGGGCAGTTACACAGAGAAATCCTGTCTTGAAAACAAATGCAGATTAATACTTAGTCATCTAAAACAATCAAACTTGTAATCATCTTAGGTGTGCTTTCAAGGCTAAACATATTTTAAGTAGGTAAGTGATCTCCAAAGGCTTTAGAATCCTACAGAACATAACATTTAAAATGCTTAATAACCTAAGACTTTTCATACCAGTGAGACACATCTGCTCCTGGCAGCACCAATCTACTCCACAAAAGGATGGTGGACATCAAAGAACCTCTGTATGGAGTTTGCTTTCATTGTGGCAAAGCTAGCCATTTGAACAAGAAACTTCCCTTGCCTTAACTGCTGACAGTAAACTGTAAGAACAGGACAAGCAGGACACAAAGAAAAAAGATGCTGAACTTTGCCAAGACAAGGTGGGACAGTCCTTAAAAATTACAGTGCCACAAAAAGTCTGTCAAATATTCCAGGTCTGTAGGCTGAAGATGGATGCCCCAATGGTGCTGAGAAACCTTGGCTGACTGTCCATGCAACCAGTTGCTTCTGTCATTTCTATAGTTTTAGAAGTTGCTTTTTCTGCACATTCTGTGGACTTAGGTGATATTATATCCTTCTCTAGTCTCTGATGAAGTTGAAGATGACACAGTTATATTTACAGTTTTTCTTGTTACCAAACTCAGAAAATGAACTCACAAAAATGGTATAAAGTATATAAAGTTGAGAGGCATAAAACCTTAAATTATTTTTCTAAGAAAATGTTCTGAGGTCTAAGAAGATAGTTTTGGGTTGGTAATACAAGTAAGGTTAGAAAATAAAAGAGGTACACAATTTTGGACTCACCAAGATATGGAGTATTTTTTCTGAATTTCTGAATTCATACAAATGAACTGGATATTGTAAATGTAATTCTTACTTCATAATCGTTCTTATTGTTTATAGTCTTACTATGTATATTAAAGATAAAATTTTTCTTTTTACTTAGACAAAAAGGGGGAAATATTGCCAAATATTTGTTTAACTATGTAAAGATGTGTTGCATTTGTTTGTGTTGTGAAATATTACTTTAACTATGTAGAGATGTGTTTTATTTGTTTACTTTGTCTGCCTAAGGCACCTGATTGGTCTAATAAAAAGCTAAATGGTCACTGAGTAGTGGTGGCACATACCTTTACTCCCAGCACTTGGGAGGCAGAGACAGGTGGATCTCCGTGAGTTCAAGGTCAGCCTGATCCACAGAGCAAGTTCCAGGATAGGCTCCAAAGCTACAGAGAAACCCTGTCTCAAAAAAAACAAAAAGAAAATAAGCTAAACCCTCAATAGCTAGGCAGGAGGTATCGACAGGACTTCCAGGCATTAAAAGTAAGTAGGAGGAGGAATCTAGGCTCAACAGAGACACAGGCAAACAGAGGGAGAAAGGGAGAAGATGCCAGGGGCTGGCCAGATAGACAGACAGACATGGAGGAAGCAGGAAAGTGGGACATACAGAATGAAAGGTAAAAAAGCCCCCAGGCAAAAGATAGATGGTTAGAAACAATTAAAAGAGCTAGTGGGACAAGTCTAAGCCTAAGCTCATGCTGAGTATTCATAATTCATAAGTTTCCATACCTTTATTTGGGAGCTGGTTGGCAGCCCAAAGAAAGTTCCAACTACAAATGCCCTCCTCCTATCTGAGGAAATTTGAGTTAGTAAAGCACACAGTACATTTAAAGGTGTTACACCCCATAGGTATAAGTACATTTTATTTATTATGTGCATGAGTGTTTTGTCTGCATCCGTGTCTGTGTACACCTGTGCAGTGTCCATGGGGACCAGAAGAGGGCATCAGATTCCCTGAGTTCCAGATTGTTGTGGGCAGCATGTGTGTGCTGGGAACTGAATTCAGGTCCTCTGGAAGAGCAGCTGTGCTCTTAACCGTCTCTCCAACTGCAAATGCAAGGAACACTTATTTTTAAACTTTATTGTTCAAGTATGTTCTTAGGAGAAAATAAATTATCATCAACAACAAAAAAGCCTAGATGTTCCTTCAGATAGTTACATGGTTTTCTATCAAACATCTTTAGTATCATGTTAGTGATCATGAATATAGTCCATACTTTATTTTAAAATTTATTTTGCTTGTTCATTTTGTTTTGTTTTTAGAGCTAGGTTTTCGCTATGTAGACCAGGTTGGCCTGGAACTTACTATGTAGCCCTGGCTGGCCCAGAATTCACTATTGTAGACCAGATTAATCTTGAGCTCTTAGGGATGCCCCTTTCTCTGCCTTCTGAGTTCTATTATTAAAGCTATAATCTAGTATGTCCAGTTAAACTATACTTAAGTTAACCATTTTTCCACTATAGAACATTTAAAAAAATAACAACAACAGCAACAAAATCAAGATCCCATGTTGTCGGAGGAGGCTGCTCATTCGTTCCCAGCTACCCAGGCCGGAAATATCACTCAGAAACCATATTATTTGAACCACTGCTTGGCCAATGACTTAAGCATATTGCTAGCTAGCTCTTATATCTTTGTTTAACCCATTTCTATTAATCTGTGTATCGCCATGTGGCTGTGGCTTACTGGCAAGTTTCCGGTACATCTGTTTCCTGCAGACGGCTACACGGCTTCTCTCTGACTCTGCCTACTCTATATATCTTTTTCAGCCTGGCTATATTTTTGTTAAGCCATTGGCCAACAGCAGCTTCCTTATTCATTAATCAATAAAAACAACACATCTACAGAAGGACCTCCCACACCACCATGTGGCTCAGGCTAGCCTCTAACCCTTTTTTAAAAAAGATTTATTTATTTATTTAACGTACACTGGTGTTTCCCCTGTATATACTCTGTGTGAGGGTGTCAGATTCCCTAGAACTAGAATTATAGACAGCTGTAAGCTGCCATGTGGGTGCTGGGAATTGAATCCAGGTCCTCTGGAAGAACAGCCAATGCTCTTAAACCACTGAGCCATCTCTCTAGCCCCCTCTCTAACTCTTAAGTAGTCAAGGATGACCTTGAACTCTTGCTCCTTTCACGTCTACCTCAAAACTGCTGGGGTTACAGCATGAACTACCATCTGTGAGTTGGCTTAATAGTTCATTAATTATGTAGACTATGTTTCTTCCATTATTGACAATTTTAGTTTAATATCCTAGAAAATAAAACTTGCATTTATGTTATTACTTTAGAATAAATTTTTTAGGGGTTTTCTATTTCTTATTTGTATAGGTTTGGCTTTGTTTGGGGTTGTTTTGCTTATTTATTTTGAGACACTGTCTCATTATAGTAGCCCTGACTGTGAAGCTTCTATACAGAGCAGGCTGGCCTCCAACTCACAGAGATCATCCTGCCTCTGCTTCCTAAGGGTTGGGATCAAAAGTGCACATCAACATGTTCCCTATTTCTTATATGTTTGCTTTTTTATTAATTCTCTTCGACCTCTATGCACTATGGCACAGGTGCGTGCAAACACACACAAAATACGTGTAAAAACACAAGCTAGATTAAGGATTTTTAGTTAAGTATACAGTCCTAACAAAAACATAATTAATATAAAGGTAAAATATCCTGAATTGCAGCTTTACTAACACCAAGATTACCATTCTTTCATACCAAAAACAATACTAAATATCTTACTCAGATATTAAAATACTTGAGAAACACAAAAAAGTGAAAGTTAAAAATGCTAGCAGAATTTTGAGTTGGATAACTCACTGTTGTGGTTGAAAACAAGTGTCTCCAGCCCTCATGGAATCCCCAGGATGTGTTCTCAGAAGTATCTACAAAATTGAGGTAACAAAAATGAGTTTAATAACTTGTATCCGTATAGCATAGGGAATGGTCAGAAACACCATTTAATGGAGCTAATGCTCTCTCTCTCTCTCTGAAAGGATGGGAGTTTTTGGTGTGATAGCGTTTTCTTTTGTGTTTGTTTGTTTTTTTAGTATTTGGTTTTGTCTTGAGATAGGGTCTCATTATGTAGCTTTGGCTTTCCTGAAACTTGCTATGTTGACCAGACTGGCCTTGAACTCAAAGATCTGCATTCTTCTGTCTCTTCAGGGATGGGATTAAAGGCATGCACCACCATGCCAGTCCTCTTTTTATTATTAAAGACTTTATTTTTAATTATGTGTATATGTGTGTCTGAGTTTGGGTTTGTGGGTGGGTGTGGATACAGTGCTGTCAGGAGCCAGAAGAGGGCATCAGATCCCCAGGAGTGGAATTTACAGGCTGTTGTGAGTGCAGTGACCTGAAGTCTGGTCCCCTAAAAGAAAAGTACATCCTCTTAACCACTAAGCCATTTCTCCTGCTTTTCTGAAGTCCTTTTATTAAAAATATTTATTTATTTATTTATTTATTTATTTATTTATTTATTTATTTATTGTGTATACAATATTCTGTCTGTGTATATGTCTGCAGGCCAGAAGAGGGCACCAGACCTCATTCCAGATGGTTGTGAGCCACCATGTGGTTGCTGGGAATTGAACTCAGGACCTTTGGAAGAGCAGGCAATGCTCTTAGCCACTGAGCCATCTCTCCAGCCCCAGTCCTTTTTTTTTTTTTTTTAATGGATGAAATCACCTGGTTTTACTTTGTATTTTTCTGGGTTTTCCTTTTGGGGGGATCTTGCTATGGAGAGATTCTATAACCAGTTCTTAATTTTTAGTTATCACGTGTAAAAGCCCATTTTAATAGTACATGTCTCTCTAAAATGAAAATTACTTATATAGTTTTCAAACTCAGTTTCTTAGTAGGATGCTCAGTACTTAATTTACCAGAAGGCAATAGATGGTTTCCAAAAGGGGTGGATCTTAGGTTCCGATGACGTAATGGACGTGTCTCAGCCTAACGACGATGGTTGTTGATTCTGTCCATTTTTTCCTTATGTTGTCACTCGTTCAGCCAGTCCAGAGGACTCGGGATGGTGGGCACAATGAAAGTTTTGTGTACTATACCAATGTTTACAAACAGACTGAAAAATGTGTTCGTTAAACCAACTTTTATGGGCCAAAAGATGCCTCAGTGAGTACAGGCAATTGCTGCTAAGCCTGATGATCTAAGAAGGCTCCCTAAGGCCCACCTAGAAGAAGAAGACCATTTCCTTCCAGTTCCCTCGTGACCCCAAACAGACACCACGACATACACAGAGCCTCCTAACTAAACGGGTTTTGTGAGTGCTTTATTTTCCCTTACTTCAATGGAAAAACATGCACAGCTAGCATTTGGGTAAAATCTAATCATCAAATATAACGGGCTTTACTGAGCAAAAGGTTGAAATATAAAATCCTTGTTCGCTGAGCCAGTTTTTGGTAAATGCTACTATGAATAGACCAAGATTTAAGAAAACCTTACTGTTGTAGACAGAGAATCAGGTATCAGGTCTACCTCGGTATAACTGCATTTTGACCTCAGGAATCCATTTTAGAGTTGTGTTGACCTAGCCTTGATCGAGATAAGGAGCTTGAAAAACCTGTTTTTTATTGGCATATGAACACACCTTATACATCAGGCATGCCAAGAGTGGGAAGTGTATGAAGTGGCCATAGATTTTGTCCTTCAGTTATTTTTAGGAATTTTATGAAGAGATTACATTTTGTAGCACATAAAATCAATTACATGGTTTTTAATTTTATAGCCTGGGACTTCTTTCAGTGCACAAAAATCCCCTTAAGGACTAAATGCTTCCCATTGTGGAGAACATTAAACTAAGTTATCGTTCATTAGATATTCTTCATGTTTAATAATTGCAAGTTGGATGGACATGACGACTGACCATAAGATCAGCTGTAATACTCAATACCAATTGTTCTCTTTTTGAGTTAGATATGTTGGAGTGGCAGGAGAAAGGCTGAATGCTATCGAGTTGACAAACCCAAACATTCTGAAAACAAACAAGAATATGCAAAATGTTCTGGGATGAAGAAAGGAGAGCTGAATAAATAGGATTTTAATAACAAAGTTAGATTAAACCCATGGACCATCAGCCAAGCCAAGGGAGGGAGGCAGGAGTCTTGCTTGGGGACTGTCTCTACCTATGATACCATATGCTGGTAGGAAACTCAAAGGATTTAAAAATCCAGAATTCCAACCTAGCCTTACATGTTGTGGGATATTTTATCACACTGTCTGAAGATGTGTTGCTGTTTTACCTTGACTGCCTGAAGGCTCCTGATTGGTTTAATAAGGAGCTGAATAGCCAATAGTTAGGCAGGAGAGAATAGGCAGGACTTCCAGGCAGGGATTGGAATTCTATGAGCCGTGTAGCAGAACATAGATTAATATAAACGGATTAATTTAAGTTATAAGAGCTATTAGTGAACAGATTCAATGCAATGCCCATCAAAATCACAGCAAAATTCTTCAAAGATCTTGAAAGAATGGTACTCAACTTCATATGGAAAAGTAAAAACCCAGGATAGCCAAAACAATCCTGTACAATAAAAGAACTTCTGGAGGCATCACAATCCCTGACTTCAAACTGTACTACAGAGCTACAGTACTGAAAACAGCCTGTTATTGGCATATGAACAGACAGAAAAACCAATAGAACCAAATAGAAGACTCAGATATCATCCACACATCTTCAAACACCTGATTTTTGACAAAGAAGCAAAAAAATATCAAATGGAAAAAAAGCATATTTAAAAGTGGTGCTGGCATAACTGGATATCAACATGTAGAAGAATATAGACCCATATCTATCACCATGCACAAAACTCAAGTCCAAATGGATCAAAGACCTCAACATAAAGCCAGTCACACTGAACCTCATAACCTAACCTATTCTATGAACCACCTAACTCTATTCTATGCTATCACAGGCCAATGCAGATTCTTTATTCATTAACCAATGAAAGCAACACATATTCAGAAGGACTTCCTACATCATCTCCCCTTTTTTGTTTAAATAAAAGGAAGGTTTTAAGTTTAACAAAGTAAAATTACATATAACAAAACAGATATCAATTAAGAATTACAGTTACAAAATTTATATCTACTTTATCTTTTATCATAACTAAGAAAAACTATAATTATAGCTATCTATTCTTCAACTAAATCAAAGACTCCAAAAGGAAATTATATTACCTAAGTTAACGACAAGTGCATTGCAAGCAACTTCCAAAACTCTAGAATTGACAGAGGCATCTCGCACTGTACAGTCACCCAAAGTTCTTCTGTACCATTGGGGCATCCATTTTCAGCCTACAGGCTCATAGTATCCAGCAGACTTTTCCACAAAACAGGAAATTTCAAAGATAGTTCTGCCTATATTGGCAGTTTGTCAGTCACATTTTTTTTCTGTGTCCTGCAGAATGTCTTGCAGACTCTTTCATGAAGCAGGAACCCCAACGGATCGTCTCACCTTTAGGCAAGTTCAGCAGTCATTTTTCTGTGGATCTGCAAGTCCAGTCAAGCATGGGGCAAGTTCAAGTCAAGAGTAGTTTCTTGACCCAATAACTAACAAACTCCATGAGGAGCCTCTTCAAAACTAATCGTCCTCTTGAAGTAGATTGGTGCTGCCAGGAGCAGATGTGTCTCATTGTCATGATAAGTCCTAAATTCTTAAAACATTTTAAATGCCATATTCTGAGGGTCTTTGAAAGATTTGAAGAATGCCTATCTAACTGAAATATACCTCTATATATCTAGAAAACCTAACTAACATTACTACACGCTTGACTATTATAGATGACTATCTATTAACCTATATTTCTTAATTATACATTCCATTTTTAAATGAACTGCACAAACACAATACATTAATCAAGAGCAGAAATAGACATATAAAATTGACCTTAAATTTGTATCACTAGAACAAGATCCATGCCAATGTAAATCTCTATAACATATCCCCCTTTAAATGTAGACAAATATTTATAAACAATATTTTGGAATTTGGGCATAGTTCTCTCCAAACTGCTTCCTGCTTTTTGTTGGGCAAAGTAATTTTTGGGGGTGTTCCCAGCAACCTTTCTGGGGGTCTTGGTCCATCAAACAACATTAGTCTAGAAGGAATCCACAGGTTCTCATCCTCTGTGGAAACAAAAGCAGAACCTCTTTTCCAAAGCAACAAATCTTTATACTCAAATTTTGAAGTCAGGGCTGGAAAATGGCTCAGAGGTTAAGAGCACTGACTGTTCTTCCAGAGGTCCTGAGTTCAATTCCCAGCAACCACATGGTGGCCCAAAGCCATCTATGGTGAGATCTGGTGCCCTCTTCTGGCATGCAAGCATACACGGAATGAATGTTGTATACATAATAAATAAATAAATCTTTTAAAAAAATTTGAAGTCAAGAAACCTTTAAAACATATATGCTAGTTTAACTTAGCAGTTCCCAGAATCAAATTTCTCTCTGCAGTCAAAAAATTCAAAGAAAAACAATAATAGACATAATCCCATATCTATATTTTCCATCTTTACATGGCTTATTTTTCTTTATTCCTTTTAATCTATGACTGTCTATATTCTGTCTCTTTAAAGACTTTGTTTTTTTTTAAAATGATTTACTTCTTTTTAAAACTCTCTATACTCTTTTTCTTCTCTCTCCCAAGCTTATGTACATTTATTCAACACTATGAGCCATTTAGAGGTCTTTTTTCATCTGAATCTGTCTTTATTGTGTGTTTGTAATTATTTTCTGACCAGAAGCACCCTTTTTTAGTGTTAAGTGGCGTGGCTAGGGACAACATGGCCCTGCCTGCTAGCTCTGCCCAGTCCAACATGGCAGAGGCATGTTCGCTGCCTCTGAGAGCCTGTACATTGCCCTATTTTTAGGC